ATACTAAATATAATGAAGAAAGGATTTTATTTCTTTACTTATTGTATAATTAATCAATTAAAAAATATATCCAACAAGAGCCATTTTTCTTAAAATAATCATGATTGCCCATGAACCTCAAGAGAGAATTCGATTTCCAATACTTTGCTCCCATTTCTTTGATCATTACTTATTGCATGCTATTGTTCAAACTTCAAACCTAAAATCATCGGAATTTGGATAAATGATATATATTGCAATCATTATAAAAAGGACTCTTGTGGATTTAATTTCAACTGTAAAATCTAGTATAGGAAACAACTTTTTCTTTTTTTCTTCAGCTTTTGCTTTGATTCCCAATCAATCGGTGTATCTTCCCCCATTTCTTTATGTCCTCTCTGTGTACCTCCTCACCTCTTTTTGGGGAGCTAAAGTAGCCTTTTTAAGTCTAAGGTTGAATAAAAAAAGCAGTGGGACACGTGTAATGTAATTTCATCTCTACTTTTGTTACTTCGAGTGGATAGTCACTTACTTACTACACACACTCACATACTGACACATCCATGTATGTACGCCTTTAATTTTTGTCTCTTGTTTCTGTATGAACAAGTATGTATGTTGTGTGCATGACAGCCCTTAATTGATTATTGCAGAATGCAGAGCTGCAGCAATGATGCATAATAGGTTGTACTAGTCTGTCTATAATGGAGAAATTTTTACATGCCCTAGGTTGGATGGTAGATTAATCACACTCGGGGTTTTCGGATCGGAGTCCATTAAGGAAAGGACACGCCTTTTATAACATTTCACACCAACACTTACCCTTACAAAGACGGGCATTGTCCCTGTAGACCTAATGTCACTCGTTGAATCGGTCGTGTCATCTTAATTGAAAATTAATTAATACTCAATTAAAAAAGGATACACCTTTTATAACATTTGCCACCAAGGTCTACTCATATATGGAGTGTCATATATGGAGTGACATTGCATGCTATACCAGTCAACACTTATAAAATTGCTATATTTGTCAACAATAATGAATCAAAATGATGAAATAATTTTTTAAACGGTCAAACAAATAGAATAGAAACATTTTATAGTTCATGTAAGCTTATTACAAATTGTAGATGTGCATTTTTTATCAGTATGATTCATGACCAGGGTTTGCAATATCGGTTACGATTGTGGTATCCGTCGCAGTGTAATGGACTCAGATAAAGTCAATGTAAATTAACTGATACAAATTGCGTATTGGACGATACAATGAATCATATTCATAACTAAGTTCTATTGTTTAGAGTTATGTTTTTCAAATCTCTCCGATGTTTCTTGTCTGAAAAATAAAAAATAAATAATTTATAATTTATTTGAAGTTGGTATCAATATGCAATATGTACATTTCATATTAGATCCTCGAGTGAAACAGTGAAACTCAATTCCTCTCATTCAAAATAGAAAAATAAAAAGAACTGATGCTGAGAAAGTCAACACATAGGAAGTGAAATTACAACCCTAACCTAGCCTTGATAATCTCTCCTTAATACCCTTTTCTCTCAAATATAGAGACAACTTAAAGGGTACCTATTTTATCAGGTCCCACTAATAAGAGAAATAATCGAATCCTTAATTCCTTTCACTCAAATATAAAAGACAAATTAAAGAGTACCCACTAGTAAAAGAATTAGACAACCTTTTAACTAGTCTTTGTTTCCATTAAGTGTCCAGTGGAAAGGCAAAGAGAAGTAAATATTTTTTGCAGAATTAAAAGTGTAATCGGAAATTTTATTTTTTTACACCAACAATATATGTCACTCAAACACCTCTTTAAAGAACAAAATTTGTGTCATCTCCACTAATGCTCCTTGATAAGTTTTGTTTTATATTATATTTTATTTTATTTACTCAACGACAGTCTGAGTAATAAATATTATGCCGATTAATACTTGTCCATGGATTTTTTTTATATCTATATATTTTTTTAACACATTGCCACTAAGCTTGAACCTCTCCCTCTCACCATTCTTTGAGGATAAAGGATAAGGGAGAGCATGTCATTGAACTAATAACCCATTAGTTGTCTATTGATAAGTTTCACTTATTTATATATATATATTTATATATATATGTGTGTGTGTGTGTGAGAGATTTAGAAGGGAAAAAATTATGTACATATTTTTTGGAGTATAAAGATAGAATGCCTAAATAACAAAGACTTGTCCTATGATTTTAGAAAGAAAAATGATTCTTGCACCCAATAATTATAGTGAATTGCTAGGTATACTATTTTAATTGGTTAATTATATATCAAATAAGAAAGTAGAACCCTCTATTTAATTATATTCCTTTAATATAAATAATTAATTAAAAATTATTGAGTTAGACAGTTCATTTTAACTTTTACTCTTTTAGAAATAACACTGAATTCTCATTTACCGTAGCAGTTTTGATTGGAGTAACTCTCTCATCATTAAATCTGTCAGTGTTATGTGCTGATGTCACAAGAGAGGTCATTGCCATTTTTTAAATCATAGAAAAAGTTTATGTTATTTAGCCATTATACAGGAGAGTGGGGTGTATTTAGGAAATATGGATACTATACGAACACGATAATATTACAAATCTCAAAAAAAAAAAAAAAATAATAATAATATGGATGCAACATAGATATGTTAAAAAATAACAATATAATATATATAAATAATATAGAGTTAGATGTTTCTTATTTTTATTTAAAAAAAAAAATTATATTATTTTTAATTAACTTATAATATATTTTAAATTGAATTGAAATTTATTTTTTAAAATAAAATAATTATAAAATCACACGGCATATACTAAAAGTGTCCAAAACATATCATTGTTGTGTCCATACCAACCGTATCTGACCAAAAAATAAAACATTAACTATTCAAAATATTTATAATTATATTTCACACGTGTTTGGGCCGTATTTGCATGTCTCAATATTCGACATTGTCATACACCTTCAAAGAATTATTTGTGATTCTCGGGTGTAATTTACTCTTTTAAAAAAGGGACAAGTGTAGAAAATACCCCTAAAGTATACTTTGCGTAGCACTTTTATCCCATATTTGAAAAAGTGTGCAAAAAATACCCCTAATCTTTTCACATTGTGCAAAAATATCCCCTCGGACATAAATTAGTGTTTTAATACCCGTTTTACCTTTTTACTCTTCCTAAAATGCCCAAGGGGTATATATGCTCCTAATTCACATAATTTAGGGGTGATATGTGCACATTACTTTATATATATATATATATATTTGAAATTTTTTTCTCTATATATATCTCTAAACATTTTTTTTTTTTTTTTTAAACTTTGAGAATTTGTAGAATAAGAATTTAAATTTTTTGAGATTTCCGTTTTACTTTATTCTTCTAAATTTCTTTTTTCTTTATTTTTATTTCGTACCAACATTGTTAAAAAAAAAAAAAAAAAAAAATCCCAATATCAGTGTGTACTGGTCTTCGGAGTTTGGAAAAATTTTGTTTTATTTAGTTTGCACTTTATTTTTATTTTTATCTTTACTTTTCTTTTATACTTTTATTTTTATTTTATATTTTTATCTTTACTTGTACATTACCAATGTCCTTCAATGATATCATTTTCGGTCATTTTATAAAATTATTTATTTTTATATTTTATAAAATGGTTCAGTAAGAGTAATTTAGTCAACTTAGGATTTAAATTTGTCAGAGAGACCTATTTGCATAAGAATGAAACTTTAGGAGTGTTTTTTGTAAGAGAGGAGCATCCTACAATAGTATCATTTTCGGTCATTTTACAAAATTATTTATTTTTATATCTTTTATAAAATAGTTCAGGGTAATTTAGTTAATTTACAGTTTAAATTTGTCAGAGGGATCTATTTACATTAAATTAAAATTTTAAAGATATTTTTTGTACGTAAAAAAAAATGTAATATGCACTATAAACATACTTTAAGGCTCAGTTTGGTAGAGTGGAAATGAGAGGAATTGGAAGGAAATGTGATGGAAAGTGATTAAAAAATTGTGTTTGGGTAAAATTGGTGGAAGGAAAGGGAAGGGTTGGAGGGACAGTAGATTTCTTAACCTCCAAAAAATGGACGGAAACGGAAGGAAAGGGAAGGAGAGGCTTGGTGAGTGATTTCTTATGCCAAATTTGCCCTTGATTACACACAAAACCCATACGTACAAGTTAGCAATTGCAAAGAGAGAGGGGGGCAAGCTTGAGAGTTGAGAGACAGAGGGCCGGCTGAAGCTTGCGAACGGCGAACCCGAATTAGAAGGGCGGTGGAAACTGAAATTGGGTTTTGATATGGCTGAAATTGGGTTTTGATTTTTTGAACAATCTGAAATGATGCCGAAATGGGTTTTGTAGTTTTGATTCTTGCAGACAAATATATAAATCGAAAGAAATGGGTTTTGAACTTCTGATTCTTGTATTTGCAGTTGCAGAGAGAGAGAGAGAGAGAGAGAGAGAGGGCAAGTTCAGAGTTAAGATGAGAGTAGAGATGGAGGCAGGGAGGCTAAAATGATTTGGCCTAAAAATATTATATATATATTGCATATGTTTTGTTATAGTTTTTTTTATTTTTTTATTATTTATTTATTTATTTATTTGCAAATATTACATACTTAAATTTATAAATTTTTCTTTTAAAAAATTAAAAGGATATAATAATAAAATTATCTTTCGTTCCTCTTTTCTTCACTTCCCAACCTTTTTTTCATAACTAATGTTATCCTCCCCTTCAAACCCACCGTACCAAACATAGCCAACACTTTTTGACTCTCAACAAACGCCCAATGTCCATAAACCGTTTGGTTTAATAGTACAGTACATGTTATTGTTTTTAAAAAAACTTGTTTGCAAAGTCTCTTTTCACACCCATGACATCACTGAGTGAGCCCAGGGGCCCATCCGATTTGATCACCCCACTAATTCCTTCTTCGTTCTTAGCCGTCCGATGAAAACTATCTCCACTCTCTCTCTCTCTCTCTAAGTTACTGAGAGTACGGCCAAATGCTCACTAGCTCCAACCAGGCCTCTCTCTATCTCTCTACTTTCTCGCTCTGTAATCTGTATATGATTCTGTACAGTCTCTCTCAGCTTTGGAGTTTGTGGAATCAAAAGCCATTTCGAGATTAGAATTCGATGCGATCTCTTCTCTCCTCTTCTTCGTCCTCTGCGAGCTCTCTTTCACAACTTTTTGATCTTTGGTTGCTCTCAGTGTCACACTGAGACCTTTGTGCCACCGACACGTTTTGCTTCGTCTTCAGGATACAGAAGTTTCCGATAATGGCTACTTTCTCTTCTACATTTCAGCGATTACTCCTGGTACGTCCTCTGTTTGTTTTCCGAGAAAATCATGGATTTGATTCGGTAAAATTGTTGTTTTCCGTATTATCAATGGTCATATCTCAAAAGGTTTTTTTTTTTTTTTTTTTTCCCCTCTCTGATTTGTGTTCTTATAGTTCGTAAGGTTATGTGTTATTTCTTATTGAAGTAAAAATCAGGAATATCGTTGCTTTTGAAAGCAAAATTAGTACTTCTAAAAAGCTTTCACAAGGGAAATTTAGTGTTTTGAAGAAGCAATTTTTTTGGGTTTGTATGTTTTAAGTTCGAAACATCACTTGAATTTCAGCTTCTTCTTAAACATTCAACACACTTTTCATTTCTTAGAAACTATATAAGAAAAGAAGATAAAAGAGGAGAAAAAAAAAAAAAAAACTTCTTTTAAGGCGAGAGAACAAAAAAGCTTAAAATACTTTTTTTTTCCTCCTTTGTTCTCTTTATTTATTTATTTTATATTTATCCCGGGAAAGGGGAAAAAAAAAAAAGGTTTATGTTTGAAATTTTGAATCATGAGTGTGCTCTGCTTTTAACTACCGGGATCCTTTTCTTTTCCACCAGTTGCAGCTTTGATGAGGGAGGGTGTCCCAATTTGCTTTATCTTCATTCAAATGGTTTCCAAGGACCACTAAATTTGCCTACTTTTTGTCTATGTATTGCCAATTTTCTTCTTGTAGCTATCATCAAATTCACGCCCTTTAAGACCATTTTGACTCCACACCACTTAATAGCATACAACTTTTCTGAGATTCTCAGTTTCTTTGTTGTTATGTAATTGAAGAAGAGTGAAATAAAATTCAGAAAACAGAGATGAAGAGATTATGTGACCATTATGGACTCAAGTGGACATAATATATTCTCATTATATTTCATAATTTCTTTGCAGTATGGATTAAATTGGAGGTAATATTTTCTCCTTACATTTCATATTTTCTTTTCTAAAAAATTTACACACCCATTTGCCTCTATGCATACTTGAACCATCACCTTCCACTTTGAAGGTAGAGGAGATATCATGAGGCTCCTCGGTTGATAGTCTTTTTCCTCATTCATTGTTAGAGAAAAAGGTCTATTTTAATTATTCAAATCAATATCATTAGCTGTAAGACAATGGGTCCAGTAAGAGAGAAGGTTACCGAATACTGAAGCTCAAAAGGACAAGTGCAATTGAAAGAATTTCAGAAACGGTCCCTTTTCCTCCTCATTAAGGAGAAGAACAAATGATTCATACTTTTTATTTTGGAGAAGGAGTTGATGTTGCCATTTATATATTTTTACAATTTGTAGTCTCTGCAAACAATGGGGTTTTCTCACTCTAATTGGTTAGGAAATTTATCTGTTCAAAGGAGAATGATGTTTTTTCCCAAATATATTTCTGGTATACAACGGTGCCTAGAATATCATCCAGCTCTGATTCTAAATTCTTAGAACCAAATAACAATCTGCATCTTTGTGTCTCCAGTGCCACTTTACTTGAAAAATCAACTAGTACTGTCGTTTTAATGCCTTCTGATCTCAAGCATGGCATGCCTTTGTCCTTTCAAAAAAGGATATTTATAACACCTATGACATGCAAAAGCAAATTTCACAAAAAAAATTCAAAAATCTTACCGTAGAGTACTATAGGTATGGTCCGCTGCTTGCATGCTTAAATAAAAAGGTTTTTTTTTTTCCTCGAAATTTTAACTTCCTAAATTTGTGGTAATCGTGATAATGGAAAACAGAGCTAATCTTGTTGCCTAGGTGCATTGAATAAATTCCTTTAGTTCCTTAACAGTGCTTGGAGATATTGTTTGCCCAGGGAACATTTTGGTCTAAAATCTCTCTTGGGGAGTTTCTATTTCGTTACCTATAGTAGCCAATCTAGAGGCCGAGGGACATATTGAAGCTCTTATCTGGTGAACCTTTTGAGGTCTTCAATGTCAGCTTAAGACTTCTATCTTTTGTCATTGTTCTCTGGATTGAGAAACTCTCTATTTAGATCTACTTATGGTGTCGATATCTAATGGATAAACTATTGAAACCAGTGGAACGTTCCATCCATCCATCCTCCTTTAAAATGTAATAATTTGGACATGAATTGGTCATTGTTGGAACTGAGGCTAAATTCAGGGTCGAGAGGAATAGCAGGTTTGATGAAGCTGCCACGAGAGTTTTTGCAGGGAATATGAGATCCAACGAATTTTACTGATATGGTCAATGCCAAGATCATGCATCTTGTGCGAAGTATTCTCAATTATGTTGACCTGCTCGCCCATTGTATTGAGAATAATATTAGTATAGTTGTTTTGCTCAGCCAGATGGGAAACAACTTCGATTAAAAGCAGCTTCATCAAACCTGCTGCTACTCTCGACCGTGAATTTAGCCTCAGTCAAGAAGTTGGGTAGAGAATTTGTATCATCTTTAATAAATTCAATCTGAAAATCAAAAGCAGATAATAAGGCTTGCCATTGAGCAAAGAAGGAATTTCTTGATGGAATTTATCTTTTGAGAACCATATAAACCAGGAATGCTTGAATTTAGGATTCTGGTAGAAAAGAACATATTTCCAGGCTTTTAAATGATGGCACACCAATTCCTGATGCGTTACTACCCTTATAGCTGCAACTACACGGCATTTTATTGGTAATGCTCCCGCTTTATATGAAAGAGGAAAAGAATTGCTTATTATCATTAAGTCGCATTTATACCCTCTTTATGGAAGAGAGTCAGTAATGGCAGAAAAAATCTCTGAATGCTGGGATAAGTATTATCTCTTGTTGCTGGAGCAGTAATTAACTCTGTTGCTTTGGCTGCTCAAATTTTTTGTTGGTTTATGGACAAATGAAGACAGATATTAGTCTTTTTTGTCTGCAAATTTCATCACTCATAAGGGGATACCAAACTTGATCTGTTTGTTTGCATTTCTTAACTAACGATATCTGTAGTCCTTTACCCTAGCGTAATCTTTTGCATCTAATTGTTTCAATTGTTTTCTAATTTTCTTGCTACTTTCAAAGTTTGCTTTTATCTTCAGAATTGATTGTAACCATCAGAAGCAATTGTTTATATTTTGCTTTCTATAAGTTGTTGCAACTGAAACTTGGATTTTTATCTTCAGAAACGATTGTGTCCGTGTGAACAGTGAATATCATCGTCTTTTCTGCTCACAAGCTTTCACAACAACCAACCAACCGGCAGATCGACAAACTATTTGAATCTCTTATCATGCCATCTGAGATACAGCTGATCCTTGTGTCTTACCAGGCATATGGGATTCCGTTTAGAGCTTAAGAAAAATTCAAAGGGATCGTCAAACTTCAGGAAGAATGGAGAATCGATTATTGCCCCAAGCAAGCCAAGGTACAAAATTGCGAGACAAGTTGAAAATGGAGAAATCTAACTCGTCTTACACTGATATCCATTCTGAAGTAATAATAAACATTGTAACTGATATCCCATCAACATCTTCAGGGAATCACCATAAGCAACAAGTTGGAAGAAAGACAACTGTGAATAAAGAGGTGGTTAAATATATCTCAACTTTGCCAAATTATTTGGAAAGGGGAGAAAACCTTCAGGAGAAAGCTTTTAATGTTGGGGTCCTTGACTGGCGCCGTTTAGAAAATTGGCAGCATAACCTTAAACAGGTCCCTGATAGATGTAGCAAGGATTCACCATCCAGCAGCAATACCACCTCATTTTTCTCGACAGATGGATCATCTATCCATTCAAGCAGAGGACACAGTTGCTCTCCTGCTCATCCAAGGATGCACCAGCCCACACTACAATCTCATCTGAATGCATCACCGGAAGAAGGCTGTTCTCAAGGTGTCAAAACCTTTACAGATGTTGGAACGATTCAAGATCTCAAAGCTGCCTCGTCCGATCCCTTGAAAGGGAAGCAAAGTATCCTCAGGATATGTCACTCTATTGATGAAAAGCATTCAGAAATCAAGCTGAAGGAATGCAAGAGTTCAGACCCACAGATAGTTCCCAAAACAAGAATGTCCCTGGATTCGGAAATTTTCAGGGTGGCACCACATTTAAAAGGAAAAATGAAGATTCAAGAAGTTAAATCCACAGGAGGAATGGAGAAGTTGCCGGAACCATATTATGATATCATTGATCACAATTGCCCTGGAACCGACAATTCAGTGGTTCTCTGTTTACCCAGAGATGACAAAGAAAATAGTCATTCTGCAACATCCTGCTTTTCTGATTCGACAGCAATAAATAGTCAAAAATCAAGTGAAGCAAATCAAAGAAGCTTCCAGGAAGTATCTTTTTCTGAAGAGGTTTACAATGCAGAGGTCTACCATGACATTCCATGTTCATGCCCCATGCCTTGTGAAGGTGGTGACAATAAAAACTTGAAGATGAAACAAGCCAACTCCACAGATGTAAAGAGTGTCAAGTGTTCACATAAACCATCACAACCTTCACTATCTTCTGTAAGATTATCATCCAGTCCGTCCAGAGGCAAAAATCTGGAAGAGAAGTCATCAAAGATCATGTCTACAGATTCAACTTTAATTAAGTCTTCCGAGGAATCAGATCTCAAAATGGGCACTGTAGCAGCTGCTAAATCGAGAAAGCCTTCTCCAACACGTCTATTTAGCATAGGCTTGGGTAGGAATGGCAGAAGTTCTGGCCACAGAGATGGTTCAGCTATATCACAATTGAGCTCCAGGCATATTTCTGCTAAATCTGACTCAGAGAAAGCTGTGGCTCCTCGCTCAGATAACTCAAATAGCCATCTGCAGAATGGTAGTAGTACAGCCCGGTCCTGCCCTTTGAGATTATCATCCAGTCCATCCAGAGGCAAAAATCTGGAAGAAAAGTCGTCAAAGATAATGTCTACAAATTCAACTTTAGTGAAGTCTTCTGCAGAATCAGATCTGAAAATGGGCACTGTAGCAGCTGCTAAAGTGAGAAATCCTTCTCCAACGCGTCTATTTAGCATTGGCATGGGCAAGAATGTCAGCTCCAGAAATATTTCTGCTAAATCGGGGTTGGAGAAAGCTGTGGCTCCTCCTTGCTCAGATAATTCGAACAACGATATGCAGAATGGTAGTAGTAAAGCCCGATCCAGCCCTTTGAGAAGGTTACTGGACCCATTGCTTAAGGCGAAGGCAACAAATTCCCATGACTCCACACAGTCATCACGGAAAGATTCTTCATCAGCAGATAGGGCCTGCAACTCATCTCATGGACGAGGAGAATCTTCGACTCTTCACTCAATGAAAGTAAAATTCGATTTGAGGAGTTGTAGGTCCATTAATGTTGATGATTCACGGCACAATGATAAGCATGGATCATCAACAGTGCAAGCTCTTCTGCAGATTGCCATAAAGAATGGCCATCCTCTGTTTACATTTGCCGTTGACAATAATGGTAACATTCTAGCAGCCACAATGAGAAAGTTAAGTACTTCTAAAAAGGATGACGACAGCTGGATTTATACATTCTTCACTATTCGTGAGATGAAGAAAAAGAATGGTTGTATAAATCAAGGGAGCAAAGGCAAAGGTCAGGGTTATGTCCCTAACGTTGTTGCCCAACTGAAGGTTACTGATTCTCAGTTCTCTAAGTTGATCGGACACAAGTGTACGGAACAATTTAGCATTAGGGAGTTTGTTTTGTTCGCTGTGGACCCTAGAGAGTCGGATCAGCAAACATCAGACTTCCAGCCAAATGATGAGCTTGCAGCCATTATTGTCAAGTTCCCTGAACAGACTGCTAAAAATCTGGACCAAGATGGGCAGCAGAGCGATAGCTTCAGTTACCAATCAATGATTGGTCTGAAAGAGCCATTATCAGAGGTCAGAAGCAATTCTAATTCTAGGGATGACAAAGAGAATGGATCTTCTAACGGAAGTCAAGACCTTTTTAGCACAACAGTTCTTCTGCCCGGTGGTATTCATGGACTACCAAGTAAAGGAGAACCTTCATCACTGATTGAACGATGGAAATCGGGAGGGTTGTGTGATTGTGGAGGTTGGGATATGGGTTGCAGAATTAGGGTTTTGTCAAACCAAATTCGACTTAGTCGGAGATCAAGTTCATCCATAGTTCATCCCACTGAAGGACTATTTGAGCTTTTCTCTCAGGTATTGGTTCCCCTCAAACCTATTACCTATCTATCCATTTTCTTTTTTCAAGTTATGGCTGCCAGTTCACTTTATTAACTTATTTATGTACTTCTTCCACAGGGAGAACCTCTGGAAAATAGGCCTGCCTTTAGCTTGTCCGCATTCAAGGATGGATTATTTTCTGTTGAATTCAATTCTTCACTCAGCCTTCTACAAGCATTCTCTATATGTATAGCAGTTTTAAATAGTAGGAAAGCATACAGATTTCCAGAATCAAGTAACTTGTTTGAAGAGAAATCATCCGAAGAAACGACATTTTCGGAAATTGATGGAACAAAAGGTTCTTGACTGTATCAAAAGCATAGTTTGCACAGAAAGTATGTCATAATTGGGCTCAGGTTGTACAGTTTTTATTTTGCTGTTGGCTAAACAACTCAGTCCTGCAATGAACATTGTGCTGAATGCCATCATCATCTGCCATTGAAATATGGAACCAAAAGGATCATGGCTTTCATTTTCAGAAAGCATGCTATAGGTGCAGGAAGGTTCCCTGGAAAACTGTAATTTGCATTAGTTGTATACAGAATAAAGGTATCTTTGTTGAGTGTCCATCTCATGTACAGATTGTATACTACAATCTAGTTTAATGCATGAAGCTTAATGAAGTCATTTCCGTGCGCATTTGCTTGCATGTTGGTTTGTGATTGGTCAAATGCATGTCGGTTTGTGATTGGTCTGAACCAATGGTCCTGGCACCGTGTAATAATTTTTCATGATTTTCTAGTTACGAGCTTGCAAAAAAATAAAATAAAAAATGTGAACCGTTGGAGAAGAAGAGGATTTTGAGTCTCATATGCAGTTTGCAGCTTCAACCTCCCCTTAATGATTTTGATAGACTTGGAGGGGTAAAAAGGATCGCAACTAAATGACGCTTTTATAATATTGAAAATAATTTTAACATTTTAATAAAATTAAAATTAAAAAGACATTCGAGTCCCACCAGAGACCCAAATTTCCTCAAAATTCAGTTATCTTTGCAATTCAAATGTCAATAACTGAACATCTATTCCAACTGAGTAAAAGATCGGCAATCATGCATTCTCAATATAGACACGGGATACATAATACATATAAAAAAGTGACCTCTGGTCCAAAAAGGTTCAGTCACAAGCAGATTTTCAGCACCCTTGGATGCGCCCAACATACTACTAATATCTTTAGATACATCTAAATAATTGTTTGAGAGTGTGTTTTCATTCTCAAATTCTCAAGGGTATAAGTGGTGAGCATGGCATCCACAGTCCCCCCACTTCCTCATGCCACAGGAAAAAATAAATAAATAAAGAAGAAGAAAAGTGAATGAACAAAACTGAACCAAATAGCAAAATATAATAACCTTCAGTTCCTTGCCTTGTAACAATACTACTGGATTACCTTGAAACAATAAGAATTTTCCACAAGGTTACTTGTAATAAGAAAAATAATTTACCGCGAAGTTCTAACTTACCACTGGCTGATTGCATCAGTTTATAAAACCATAGATTCAGAATTACAAAAACTTAAATAACTGGATTGAACGTCAAGAAATTTCCCAGATTCCCTTGGCAGCCAATCAATTATGTGTGTAATTTGGAGCAAATGATATTCTGAGCATAGTTTGATAAGTATGCCAAAATTTACACTGGAGGCTTACTGTTATGGGAACCAAGCAGCTGCCCAATGAGATTGGTCACCTGGAAATATAGAAACAGATGTATTATTGAAAGGAAAAGAAAGAGATCCACGAGGACAGAAAATGCTTCCTATAACACGGATACCACACGTGCCAGAAGCAAAACAAGGAGGTGACAAGATATGCCAATGCTAGCGGTCTGTTTCAAGTTTTTCCAGTGAAAAATATACATCCGAGGTTCATAATATTACTTCAACTAATGTACAAGTCATATCCCTAAAACTAAAACTTTGCACGCAAAAAAACCCGAAAGTTTACCTGCCAGTATTTTGAAACACAACGATCGATGCAGCTATTTTCACCCATGTTTAACTCGGTCTCCTTGAACCTGGAAACAGAGAGGAGAGATTTCAATGTCAACTCCTGAAATATAGATGAATAATTCTTTCAGGGAAAAATCAACTCCCAGAAAGATCAGCACAATCTTCAGAATATGAAGAAGCTGGAATTACTATATTCTGCATTCCTCCCTTTTCATAGTTCATCCATATTGAAACAAATATATATTTTTTTGGTAGGGAATACAGAAATAAATAACATTAAATAAATTAAAATACCTTTTCTCGACACACTTATCGAAACATGTTTGGGTAAGCCTGGATCAAAATTTTAAAACAAGTTAGTTCAGGACTCTAGCAGCAGAAAAGAAGCCTCGCATGCAGAGCAAGATTTTAGTAAATCATTTACTACCAAAAAAGAAAGAGGATGCACAACAATATGAACATTAGTTCTACATTTAAGCACACAAAATTGGAGGCCCTGTGACAATATAGCTAAGGATGGAATACATGCTCCCTACACCAAAATGAGAACCCCATCGTCGACTCAAAGATTGAGCACCCATGTGTTTGCATCTTTGGGTAAGAACCACAAGCAATAAGTTGCAAACTAAGACGGAAAATTGTTTTCACAAGGTAGCAATTTAGAATACTTAAAAGAGACTGATTTTAAGGTGCTCCTAACTCAGAAGACGTTGACAGACGCCACACCAAGCCATGTCCAGTTGGCCACTCAATGAGAAAAGAATGTTGTTTATCAGGAACAAGTACCATGTGCATCTCATCATTTGGACCAATAAGATTTCCATGTCATGTAACAAGTAAAAGTCTCATCAAGCAATAAACATTTAACATCTATGCATAATTCATTCTTAGAAGTGTATCATTGCTAAACAATTGCTTCACATTACGAGAACGCCTAAGTAATTAACATAAACTCTCAGACATGATGATGTTGGGTAATAGAACAAATGCCTCATCTTATGTTTGGGACAATTATTGCCATGAATATAGGAGCTAGTTTTACAAATTCTTCAGGAGGTGCTGTTTCCCTTTTAGACCATTGGTGTTGTTTGGAAGATCAACAAAAATGTAGTAATATCTTAAACAAGCTTCAAACAAATGCACAGAAGATAGTAAAAGAAAACTAAATTCACCGAAGATAGATCACCTACTTGTTAAACAATTCAACCCTATACTCCATCTCCTTCTCTGCCATGTCAAAGATCTGCATCATTATTAAAAACCCAAATTACAATCAGTTCCCACTGACAAAGAATTTAACTTTACAATCATAAGATTCAGGCAATCCTCCAATTCTAATAATTACAGTAAACAAATTAAATTAAAAACACGAAACCCACCAATTTACCTCTAGAATAAATATAAAAAACAATTAAAGTATGCAATGCATAGAACTTCAGAAATGAAATGCTAAGAATTGATATATAACAAATTAAATTTCAATCTGCTTACACATACATACACACACAGACACACACACAGAGGCAAGAGATGAAAGCACCTGTTCTTTGTCCAACTGGATTGGTGCCGGTGTTGGTGTTGGTGTTGGTGCTGGTGTTTTATTGTTGGCCGCCATTACTATCAGACTCTGAAACACCAAGAGATTCAAAGAAACACTTTCAAAATTTAAACTTAATACAACGAACAGAATTTGCAGATAATTTGAATTTACTCCACTGAGCTAATTCATATTACGGTTCAACGATCTTACTCTGAGTGACTGAGAACACGAACGATGAAAGATACTCAGTTATGAACGCCAATAGTGATAGACTAGCGAACCAAACCCTAAAAATTGCACAATATATCAGGGTTTACCAGAGGTTCAACAACGAGACGATGGTCGACTAAGAAAAGGGCTACAAGCCCAATTATATATAGGCCTAATATATAAAGTTTAAGGCCCATTTCATTTCAGAACCCAATCCAAACATAAATGTATTTGTTTGCCCTTCTACTTTCAATTTTTGGCAAGAAACCTACTTCAAGAAAAAAAAAAAGTTGACATAAAACTCCTCTCTAACTATCTAATTTATTGTAAAGTGATATTATAATGACTAAAATATCCTTAATACAAATTTAATAAAATAGTGCCCCTTAATATTAAATTAAAACTAATAACAATAATTCATTTGGCATAGTATTATTAAAATAAAAAAAAAAATGATTTTTTTAAGGACGTCTATAAGAAAATAAAAATACTTTAAAATGAATTTTCAAATTTTTATCTTTTAGAAAACAAAAAGAAAAAGAAAAATAAAATCTAAAATAAAAATCATTTTAAAGTAAAATCTAAATTTTCTTAAATTTATATTAAGCGAATTTTTTGTCATTATAACATCACTTTAATGGTGTGTAATTTTTAAAATTTTCTTAGAGTTCAATTTTTTTAAAATAAAATGGAATAAGAATCTAAAATGAAAATCTTTGTTAAATTTATATTAAGGAGCATTCTTGTCATTATAACATCAGTTTGCAACAATTTTGATACTTAAAGGGGCTTTATATGAACTTTTTTCTTCAAGCAGTTTTATTGCCCAAAAATAAAAATAGAGGAGCGTTTTATGCAATTTTTCATATAATTTAGGAATGCAACTTCGGTTGGATAACTTGAATTCAACTCGGGTCCAACTCGATTTTTCACAAGCTTAGGCAACCATTTTAACGGTTAGACTTAGGTTGAAAATTCTTAATTAGGGTTGAGTATGGTATGAGAGGTACTAGCAACCTGAATCCAAATTTTAATATTATATATATATATATATGTATATATTAAATATTTTATATATAATATTAAAGTCATGATCAACTTTTTTTTCTTTTCAGCTTACTTTATTTAAATCTCAATTTATTATATGTTTACACTTTGAATTTAATCTGACATTTTCGTATTAAATTTTTAGTGTAGGGATCCATCATATAGGTAATCTTACGGTCGGGTCAAGTTGAGTTAAGGTGGTTTGAGTTGGGCTTCAAGCCTTGAACTGTACCTCCAACTCGCCGAACCATATATATAAGCATCTAAATAAAAACCTAGGGCTGAGGTTTCCTCAGGCTTGGTAACTTCAAACTGGGCAGCGACAACACCCGACGACGGCTAACTTCCGACAACCTGCAAAGGCTTCCGGCGAGCTGTTTTAGAGGTAGCTTTTCCTCTGTTCTCTTCTTCCTCTGTTTCAGATTTAAGTTCTGGAAGCTTTCTGATTTGGACATTTTTTCTTTTATAGAAGCTTTCTGGTTATTGTTTTCTTTTTCTTTTTCTTTCTGGAAGTAATTTTTGTTTATGGTATTGTGTACATAAGTCAAATTTAGTTTCTGGGCATTTGAAAGTCTTAATTTTGAATAAATTTGAGTTGTGTTCAGTCAATTTTTTTTTTTTTTTTTTTTGTGTTCAGTCAAATTTAGCTATAGTCAGGTATGTCACTAAAATTCCTCAGAAATCTTAGATTGTCGTTTCTGTTTATTTACTTACTCGTTCAATTGTATAGTTGGTGCGAGGCCTTTACATTTTGAGCTACATTCTTAATTATGTAGGATCCCCATCCTAACAACCTTGGTGTCCATATGCTATTATCCTTATTATTATTATATATTTTTAAAGATTTTTTGTTACGCCATATCTGTATCATATTCCGTGTTTGTATCCGAGCTTGTTATTATGTATAGTAGTAGGGGTTTTGATGCCAAATATGTATGTTAATTCTAAGTTAGAAAATCTTGCTCATAATGAATATATAATAGTTGATGATAGTCGTTTGAGTTCAACACTGTTGCTTTAATCTATTTCCTTTTCTCTTGTTATACTTTTTATAATTTTTATTTACAGAATCGCGACTTGTTACTATGGAATACGGGTCAGTCCAGGATCAATCAGCATCCACATTTTCTTTGACTGATGAGGATCATACTTTAGCGAATTCCCTCAGATTCGCTCTAAATCAGGAGTCAGTACTCTTCAAATTCTAATTTAAACTGCTCAGCTTAATGTGCTTTTCGCTTAACATTTTTATTTGGGTTCAAATGTGATATATGTATGATGCTAGCTAAATGTCCGCCTGATATTGGGCTTTGACTAATATATCCACTTATAAAATTTATGTGTGAAATCATCAGTGTTCCACTCTGTTCATATGATGGTCCATCTTTCATGGAAAAAGAAGAAGTTGGATTTTGTTTTGTTTTATTTTATTTTTGTTATTTGCGTGAGATCTTCCAGGCAGATGCACTCTGAACTGCATAGCTTGAGTGTTTTTTTTTTTTTTTCATTTTATTTAGTTCAAACTTTATGATTAATAAATGCATTTACAAAGTAAGCTCCTACTTGCCAGGGACTAAGTGGCGCTCGTCCTCCTCATTAAGTCTTTATTCTCCTGAGTTCCAATCTCCATGTAACAAAGTTGGAACTCATCATCTGTTATGTGGCTTAGGATGAGATATTTGGAACCGAGCAGCCTGTTGTGCTTTATGGCACATGCATTCTTTTTATATGTTAACTGAAATTTTCTTTTTTCTTCTCTCTTATAATTTTTTGCAATACTGCTTCTTTTGCGTCGAAGTCTATCTATAATTATTTATATTTTACTGGGTTAAAAATTGTGCAAGGATAATTTTAACACATTGTGACATAATTTTGCAGTCCAAGAGTTACATTCTGTGGGTACAGCATTCCTCATCCCGCAGATGCTCGAGTAAATATAAGAGTCCAAACAACAGGTAAAGCCGGCATTCCCTGTCTATAGAAACTATCTACGGGTTCTTCTAATGATTGAACTACTGTCTCCCTTGTTAAAGCTCTTCTTAAAATCTCAATCTCAAAACTCTCCGTATATTCTAACCAAAATCAATGAAATGATGAAGTATGTATATCGATCCTAATTTATTTGCTGATCCCCAATGATGATGATTATTATAATTTTAAATATTAATATTGATGATGATGATGATGATGATGATGATGATGATGATGATAATAAGTAATAATATTAGATATTAATAATATTAATTTGGAAAGTCCATCGGCATTCTGCTAATGTTACGGAACATCCTGCATCCCGTTTGTCCCACTTTTTTGTAACCTAAGTGAGTTATATGATTTTTGCCTACATTGTCATTTGGGGCATTTAGAGTTTTTTGGTAGTAATTTTGTTGCATTGGGAGGTAGTCATTAGTTAGTGTCCATAAATAGTGTGCTAAATTGTTGTGTTGGTGATTGATCATATGCAAAAGCATTATGGTGATTGTTATCATGGTGACTTCTGTGGTATTCTTCTTGGGGGGGGGGGGGGAATTCCTTTGAACCCTTTTAACATGTTACTCAGAGTTTACTAAATTCATGGCAAAATATCGAAACATATCATCTCCAATCTACAATTATCTTGCAAAGCAGAAAGGAAGATGAAAACAGCTTATTCGGGTTGCTTTGCCATGTGATGCTCCTCGGGATTCTTTACATTGACCAATATGACTTTTTTTGCTTGATTTTTCAATACATTTTCACTTTTGGCTGTTGCTCGAAACTTTGCAGGTGATCCGGCGACTGAGGTATTGAAAGATTCTTGCCAGGATTTGATGCTCATGTGCCAGCATGTGAGAAGCACCGTCGACCAAGCTGTTGCTGATTTTAAAAACGCGCAAGCTCTCAAGGACATGAATATTTAAATGTTATAAAAGTAATTTGAACTATTCATCTCAATATTACATGTTTGTTTTGTCAACTAATGTAGATGATGATAAACATGTACAATCCCTATAGAGATTTGATTTCATTTGCCTACTGGTCTCTCATATTACAAGGTTGTCTTCCTGAAATCTTCCCGAACGATTTTCACAGAGAAATGAGCGAACTTTTTTGCACCTTACCACATAAGAAACGCAGATATGCACTCAAGTGGATGCGCGCCAACGGAGCACGTCAAACCTCAATGAAGATGAAATTCTTCACCACTGCAACAAGAATCCAGGTTTACTATTAGTCACCATTTGAATGATGGAATGCAAGTGGCCATTTATATCTTGGACAACAATGGCATAGCTAGATTTACAGCTTTCGGTCTTTCTGAACAAATTCAGAAGAAACAAACATGAGGTTAAAATTTAGGACTCTTGGGAGTGCTTGGTACAATTGACTATTTACAGCCAAAATGGTGTTTAAATGGTGAAGGATGAGTAGACTTTGCATACAGAAGAGATGCCTGCATGGCTTAAAATTTAACATGGGCAACTCAAAAAGCAATTCGAAGTAATCTTTGCCCTGCAACAGATTTACAGAAAAATTGGTCCTAAATGATATAAAAATGGTCGTCTATCATAAACCGACAACCGGAAAGAATCCCATCTTTTCTAGAATGTGCAAATCAATAGTCTGATCATTCTTCCCAAACCCACCATCTCTAAAACCCAGTGGAAAGAGCAAAAGAAAAGCTAATATTTACACTCTTATAGAGAAGCCAACAATTGTACAACATATCATGCTTCATTCACTACGATGTCTCATAGATTCTTTTTATATTCCAAAACAATCCTATTAAAGCGAAGCCAACGATTATGTAACATGATGCACTACAATGGCCCAGGGATACTTCTATAATTAAGACAACAAACAACAATCATGGGCACCAACAAAATGGGGTTTGCACCTTATCCCCCATGTCAAGCCTTCAAGGAGAAAAAAAAAAAAAACAAAAACAAAAACAAAAAAAAAAATGCATCGAACCAAGGAAAAATTCAAGACGGTTTTGCTTTTGGATTCAGGAGAGTACATTGAAGTGAAAGAGCCAAGAGATGATGAAGGCAAAGACCATGCAAGCAAGCAGGAAATTCATGATGCGGCGACCATGCCAGAAGCTCCTGGTCTCACCACTGATCACTGGTGCTGTGGGAACGGCTGTTGCACCAGTATTGTTTGCCTCGTTTGTCTGCTCACCAGCAATATTGAGTGCAGTGGCACCACAGATCTCACAGGTTCTGCAGAAAAACATAAATTAAGCGTGATTTAAAGTTTGATGTGGAATTTTAATCTAATAATTGATCAAATCAATGTAGGAAGTAGAAATTTTAGAACTGAAGGAAACAACATGAAGTTCAGTATCATTTTCTTGCTATGTTCATTACTAAAATTCAATTTGTTAAATGCATAGATTATATTTCAGACGAGGTTCAAAGAAGCCAAAAAAAAAAATCTTCATTTTTCAAGGGAAGAAAATAGATTTCACCAATGGTAAATAAATACATGTAAACACCAGGATCTAAAAAGGGTAATAACACCCAATACTGGAATTCTACGCTTCATATGATCACAATCAAAGATTTTGCATCTACATAAACAAGTCCTGTTTTAACCTTACAAGTCTCTCTTGCGAGTTGGAAAACCTCCAATCCGAAAAAGTGATGCATCTTTAGCCATATTGGGCACATTCTTTTTATTCCTGATTGAACTTGATGAAATTGATCAACCATCTAACACCCAGATCAATGCAGCAGCATGCAATATCTCGGGGTATTGACATTTCCATTACATTTCCAGAGACAAAGTATTGCCACAATGCTAACTTCAAATTTCTGAAGATCATCATGAAACAACCTGACTGGAAACACTTTGGTCGTTAGTTTTGCAGCATGTTATGTAACATGCAATATGTATTTCCTTAAAACAATATTGGAGGCTGCATAGAATCAATTTCTAGATGTTGGAAGTTAAGAATAAATCATAATCATTTCTAGATTTAGGAATATAAAATAAACCATCTCCACTCAAAAGATAAGTTGTTTTATGATCATCAACAAGCTCTCTCAAATACATCAGTAGCAACAAGAAAGATATCAATGAAAGACAGACTAATGAAGAATAAGTGGAACAGAACTATTCAAGCTCCAATAATACAAAATTATTTTTTCTATCGAAACTTGGAATTTAATAAAAGCACGACACCCATCCTTATAAATTCTTAACACAAGTCCTTCTACGTGCATAACCGATCTACTCTCGTAGCACGTAAAGAAGGCAAATATGGCTTCTCAAAGCACATCCTTATAATGGGATACGCAGGCATAGAGTCAGAAGGTTTCAGTAACAGCAAGTTTCTGTCTGTAAGGATTTTGTTGGTCATAATTTAGAGTTGTGTCACCTTCTGTAAATAAAAGACGTGGGTTTTGCAACATGAGAACTACTCAAATTGAACTCCAAGGGGGTGGCAGAGTTAAATGAGAATTACACGTATAAGGTGGAGGTCTGAGTTCAGTTTATCACCACAAACCTCCCCCCGCCCCCGGGGCAGCCTCACAGGGACTTTTCCTGAATTAAATTTGGTACGTGGCATTGGGGATTCAGTCCGGAGGGGTAAGTCTCACCCAAAGGCTAGTGACCGAAAAAAAGAAGTAATAATATAAATAAATAAATCCCTAAATGCAATATGATTTCTCTACCTCTACCATTAGACACCATCTAGCTATTTCTATGGCAATGCATATACAGGATGTAAGATCACGATTTAACTAAATTATATACTAGTGAGGCAAATCAAAATGTTACCACATCAAGGAATCTGCCGATTGTCAGAAGGAAACTCAACTTTCACAAAAGCCAAAGAAATATTATGATGGTGTATTCTTGCATTAAAGCAAGGGTCTTGCATCACAAAAGATAAATATGAGAGAGATTACATTTTACTATATTAGAACAAATGCTTATTGACAAAAACGAGATTGGGGACAGGTAATTTACACATCTCAAGGAAGTGAAATTGGTGCGCAGCAGTAAATTAAATTTTATAATTTTAACATATACATGTCCTGTTTATAAAGTTGATGCCATTCATCAAAGTAACTAGCTTACATTAGGGCCCACATTCTCAACTAACTTGAGATACATAGCGACTTGAAAAGCCTTTGAGGGAACATGTATCGACCAGAGGACGTGTTCTTGTCCATCAGTGAATGTTTGCACTCTATTGGGTAATTCTATCTATTTGATACCATGAGCAATATGCCAAAGGAATAAGGACAACAGCAAATATGACATGAAAGAAACAGGAACTGGAAAGATACAGTGCAACCAACAAAGCTGAAGTCAACCAAAAATGCATTGATTATATAGATATTGGAATCATATAAATCTATGTGTTTAATACTCTACTGTAGACATGTGTTAAATATGTATTAGTTACAAGAACATTTACTCAAGATAGACCAAGACTCATCAATCCCACTCACCATAGAAGAAAAAGGCTCAGCAAACCAATAAATCCCTTGGTACACACTAGAAAGATAGATGGATTAACAATCGCAAACTGACGAAAAATAAAGGCAATTCATGCATCAAACCAGATGGTCCAATTCTTTCTTTCTTCTCTCTTTCCTGTTAAGTATTATGCACGCATTCATGTCCCGGCCAGATTTGGAAATTGCACATCCCCTTTCAGAAGGGCAACAAAAGATACCACTGAAGCTAACTGCTGGTGGTCAAAACCAGATAGTTCAATTTTAGCATTTCTCAATTGAATCACAGCATAAACAGAGGTCTGATCCTAATGATCATATTAATCTTCTTTCTGATTTTTTTTTTTTTTTTTTTCACCACCTAAAATTTGTGTCATTTACCAAAGACAAGAGGATCTTACTTAAGGAGTATTCAGATCTAGGGGTGCCCCACGGATTCAATTGGAAGCAGCAATGACGAAACTTAGGAGTCTCTTAAAATTGGCCTTCCTGATTTACTGAATTTAGGTGAAATGTGAAATACAATTCCTATACTTACCGAAACCAAAAAAAAAATATAGAGTTCCTATATTCCGACAAAGCAAGAATAAAAAATCTGAACTATCTGAAAAAAAATAAAAGAAGATATGTAGAATATTACCATGAACCAATTGTGTCACAGATAATGACACTTCCATGGTTGAACTGAAGTACAGAAACAGGAATGCAACTGTATATATACATACATATATATAAGAATGAAAAATAGCAAAAACTAACCATATTTCATTTACCAAAATTTTTTTGCTGTTCTTAAACATTTGTAACAAATTATGTTTCCATTCACTCGTTCAATTTGAGAATTAAATGGTAAAAAGGTTTACAATTTGCAACTTACTCCATTGTTTCTGCTTGAGAAAATTTGGGCCTAAAAAATTGTACGGAACTTCAAATCATAAACATGTGAATAACTAGTTCAATTTCTAACTCCTCAAAACGAAAGGCAAACAAAAATAATACAAATCAGTAGCATCGATTTCACAACTCACAGTATAAAGAAAATAAAAATAATGAAGAACTCCTCTTTTCTCCAAATTAAGCTCAAAAAATGCAATGAACCAACAAATGAGCACGAAGAAGCCTCTCACAATTATCAGAATCTAGCATAATCGTTTGTTTATGACACAAAACAACCAAACAAATAACAAAACAGAACAACCAGCAATAACTACAAGCACATTATGAAAAAGATTATAAAAATAAAGTGTGAATTTCACATGTCATCTATTAGGTACAGAATCTAGAACTGCAAACAAACAACAAATAGATATCTCAATTTTCTTATAAGCAACAGAATTAACCATGAAAGTTAAAATCGCTCAGCGTAGTTAATTAACAGAAGCAGCAACACTAAAATTCATACAAACATTTTCACAAACACATCATAATCAAGCACACAAATCACATTTTTATGACATAAAAACAAATCAAGTTAGGGTTTTTAAACTCACGTGTTCCCCTTAATCTTGAACCAGGTCTCTGCACATTGCTTGTGAGCAGCCCCCAAATCATCCTTACAAGAACAACCCAGTTCCATAGCAACCCCAAGCTCTTGACTGCCACTGTTCCCACCCTCCAAGTTCAGATGACAGATTCTACAATTTCTCTCTTCTTTAGCCGAATGCACTCTCAACGCCAAATCACCACTCTCCAAGTCAACACCGTCCGACAAACAATCCGACCCAGAAGAGACTCTGTGACTGTGAGGGTCCGAAATCCCCTCAATCTCCGAGAACCCACATTCGTCGTATGACCCACCGGCCGTCGAGTACAGCGGCGAGTGCCACGACTGGTCGTCGTCCGAGTCGGAGAAGCAGAGGCTACCGTCGGTTGTGGTCTCGCTGCTGCCTGCGACGGAATGCCGCCTCCTCCGGCGTCGGCGATGGTGGCGGCCACTACCGGCTTCTATATCAGTAATGGGTTTGTCTAAAGCCGACATTTTAAGATACCCAGAAGCGGAAAGGTGGAGTGGTGGAGAGAGAAAGCGTGGGATGGGAGGACTTGAGAATGGTTGGAGGTTAAAGGGAGTGATCGACGTTAATGATGAAGAGAGCGAGGACTGAGAAACACATATAGGTGGTGTAAGTAGGTGACTATTCGTTTCATGCCTCCCCAAATCTCTCTCTCTATACATCCACTCACTCACTCTCTTCTCTCTGTCTGTATGTGTATACGTGGGTGTGCCAGATTCGAACATTGCTGAAAAGGAAACCCACGGTTTGAGTTGGGAAGTCCCTATTAACGGATGAGACCACAGTTAGCATTACGCAACCGTACTTCTATTTAAATTAAATGAATCAAATATTTGGTTGTGGGACTAGTATAACAAGGGGGAGGTTGTCCACTGTCAGATTTGAATAGGAGAATGATTGAATATATTCGGTGTTGATTCTATTCAACATTTTAAACTTTTGAATTGGATTGTAAAATATTCGCTCATTTCAATTAGTATTAGATCTTAATTCAATATAATGGCGTTACGAGTTCAGATTATTCAGGTGGAGTAACAAGTTTGTATATATATAATTAAAAAAGTGCTAAATAAAAAAATTATGGAGGATTACTAAATTTATTATAGATTTATTAAAGGGCAAAAAAAACCATTGTCCTTATTTATTATTTTTATAATTACAAATTATGTTTATATTTGTAATTGAAACACATACCCGCCATTAAGGTGGCCTAAACTTTTTTGAGAATGTCAGAATGATGGTGGTATGCGGTGATGTGAGTCTTATTACATGACATCATTTTGTTTTGCAGGGGTACGGTTCCACACTATCACTCATATAAATTACATTGGCATCTTGCCATCTTTTGAATAGGGAAGAAGTATCATTAGACGTGCAAGTATAATTTATAGAAGTTTTGTACCAAAAAAGGGACCCTCGGCCCTTATTTCAATATTTGACATTTTGTGCACCAATAAATCAACTATACAATAAAGATATAATCCTTATGCAACACATTCAGAGTGAAGTTACACTTATATAATATAATGATCTATTACCGCTAAGGGCCAGAAAATGTGATATCAAGTGTGTGTGTGTATATATATATATATATATATATATATTTCTTTTTATCCGGGCAAACAAGCCAACAAGGCAAACAAGAAGCAAATCAAGAACTAGAATCACAAGGGCCACATCCTGAGCAATATAATGCTTCGATAGCTTAGCAAGTTTATGAGCAGCTTGATTGCCAGTGCGACGAACATGGCTAAAACGGACGGAAGCAATCATCCTAGAAGCTTGGTGGTCCGGCACGGACTCCACTGATTTTTTTTTTTTATATATTGCTTTTATACCTCAAATTTTTTAAAATTTATGAAGATACCCCTACTAAATTTATAACTAGCGTCCACCGGATATATATATATATATTTTTGCAAGTTATACTTCAAATGTTTGAGGATTTTTGAAGATGCCCCAACTAATATCACAATTCGCCTCCACTGATTTTTTTTTTTTATCTTAATTTTTAAAAATTTATGAAAAAAACTCCATTGAAATTACAAAAATAGACCCACTATATAAATTTGTCGCCACAAATTAAAAGACCGCTTCCCTTCACAAAATTTTCTAGGTTCGTCACTGCTGGTGGATATCGAAGACGAAACTTGAATTTTAGAAAGTGCTTGAACAGACAGACCCAATATCACTCTTGTGAACCAACAAAGAGTCGCACTCAAACCAGACATGAGGATCGGCCAAAGATGCACTGCAAGCTACAAACGGAGCGAAAATCCTTCTTGAAAAACAGCACCACCACCTCCAATATAAGTATGCGTGGAAAAAGAAGCATCCACTTTTAAATACCATCGCTTGGAGGGGTCAATGAGGAAGAGAAACCACCATGAGGCAATTGCTTTGTGATAAAATTAGGAGCTTCCAATAACTCCCAGAATTGTTCCAAAGGCTCAAAACTGTGTGAATAGACCAATCATCATTATTAAAAATAAGCTGGTTTAGGTAAAATTGAAAATTAAATATTAAAAATTTCACGAGCTGAGTTTAAGTAGTAAATGTAAATTGATAATTGTAAAAAATTATCAATTTACATCATTTAATTTTCTGTTGCATAATGAGTTTGAATGTATTGTTACAATATTGTGCTGATATATTCAATAACTCTGAGTAATCATCATCAACTTAAGGGTAATATGGTCGCTGATATCAACACAACGTTAAAATGGTCTTGTAGGTGTAATAAAATGGCATTACCTGCCAAAAAAACAGTGACACTTCTGAAATTAAAATGTAATTTTTTTTTCTTTCTAAAAATGATTCTTGCACTGATTTGTTGTAGTGAATTACTAGATTTGTTTTTTTTCAATTGGTCTATCTATACAACAAATAAGGGAATGAGACACTCCACTTACTTGTATTATGTATAAATAACTAATAAAAAACATTCGATTAGGTAATTCACTCCAACAAATCGGTGCAAGTATTACTACTCTCTTTTTCAAAGCTTATTAAACTATACTTCAACCAAGGCCAATGATAACATCAATAAAATTTTAAGTTCAGTAATATTTTCCACAATTAATTAGAAAAAAAAAAAAAAAGTCCACAATGTTCAATGTCCTCCTTTCCTTTTTATGTTAAACTTTTTTAAAAAAATTCCCTTTTTTTATTTAATTATGGCAAGAATTTTATAAGATTTTCTTCTATTCTCTAATCGCAATTAAAATGGGAAAAAATTATATACAAAGCATCATAAAATAATTTTGCCCAGGAAAAAAAAATTCTTACTAGAGGTGGAAATTTAAGACCATAATCTACGTAGAGAATGGTTGATTTATTTTTCCTTTTTTATTTTATTTTATTGGATAATAGAGGGTGGCCCCAATCCTTCCACTTAGATAATGCTCTTAAAGAATCTAAAAGATCATATATATATATACACATATATATGCTTTAAATATGTTGCATAATTTTCATGCAACAATTATTCCACTTACATTAAACAGCTAGTTGTATTAAGAAGCTTTAGCCAAAACATCATTTCCAAAAGGTAAAAGGAAAGGAAAAGAGAAGGAATTTGTTTCCACATTTTAAGAAAAAGGAACGGATTTGTTTCCACATTTTAAGAAAAAGTTTGCTTTTGAAGTGGAGTTGTAAGTTCTTGATTTTTTTACATAATTTCTCAAAAGCGACTGAACAATGGGCATGTCCTCAAGTTTGTTTGTAATGGTGCTTTAAGGTGTGTATTTATTTATTTATATTTTTTTTGTTAAATAATTTGCACACTTTTATTTAGAAGGGACTCGAGTCCTCATATTTTCATTTTTGAAGAAAGAGGATACAACTTTGGACCATTTAGCTCTTCATCCTTTTTTTTTTTTTTTAACCAAAAAAACTAAGAATATTGAACTCGATTCCAATACCGCAATCAAATCCCAAGATGACAAGGGTGAGGAAATAGGACTCGGATCCTCTCATAACCGTTTTCCTATCTCATGTCATCTTATACATTAATATAACTGTTATGATGTTATTGTGCATTACACATCATCACAATATAAAATGTGGTCCTCACCAATACTCCCAAGAATGAAGCTAAACTTGTGGCTAGCAGTGCAATTTAGATTGCACTGCTAGATTGCCAACTTTGGATAGCAGATTAATGTAAAATCATCTCAATATTTGTACCCTTTGTCAAACATATCCTGAATCACATGATCACCTATTCTTCAAATGCTGTTTTACTTCTCTAATATGACGATTTATCAAGGATAAATGCCAATTTTATTCAACAATCACAAATTGGGAGGAACTCATACAATGCATTAGTGAAAGATGGGATGCAAAATAAGTACCGAACCTTTTTAGGAAGGTCTGTTTCTCTGCCATTGTGTACCATACTTGGGAAGAAAGGAATAAAAGGATCTTCAAGAAGAAAAAATCTACTCAGATGGTAGTGCTTACTCGAGTCTGCTTTACCATCATTGCAATTCTTAAGCTTGGCTTCCTTCAAGACCGTAATACATCTAGAAGAATTCTCACAGAATGGAACATCTCCCCCTCTTGCCGTCGCCCACCATCGCGTCCTCCGAATTGAAGAAATTGTCGGCTTCCTCGCCGGAATTCCCTAGAGCTCACCGGATTGTACAGCTAACAACCTCTCTTAACAGCAGTTACAGTTAATTCTGGTTATTAGTTATTGCTTAATGTTAGGTTTGATTCGAGATGGGCCCGGGCCCTTGTTTATGCCCTAATGGGCTGTTCTCCCTAAAAGGGCTGTTTGGCCAATTGTCCTGTAATTACTTTTACATTTATGATAGTTGCTTAAAATTCCAACAAAAAAAAATATAAAATGTTAACATCAGGAGATGTGAACTCATGAAATAATCAATATTCGTGTAATATATTATATCATGTTGCAAGTCACAACACCATTGAAATGAGCTCAATTTTACACATTGTTAGATAGTTAATTTTTACATTGTCAATTCAAAAGTTGTTGACAACATAAACTCACAGAATAAACACAAGACCAAAAAGTTAGAGCAAATAACAAGATAAGCAAATTAACAAATACTACTGAGAGTCCGACTAGAGACACAATCTCTCACAAACAGAGTGAAAAGACTAACCAACACATACTAAAAACACACATCCCTAAACAGTTGAGGAGAAGGGTAATCTATGAAGCACGGTCACTCCTCCCAAGGGTCCCGTACCCGTGTCGGATATTTTTCGGACACCGACACCCGTATCCGACACTTTTGTAAAGTATCCAAATATTATTTTTTATTGGACACGCGTGTCCGAGGCTCGGACACACGGTCCGACACTTCTGTGAGACAAAATTTATTTTCTTTCACTCCTCTCAGTCTCTCATTTTCTTCAATTATCTCTCTTCATGAACAATATATATATATATATATATATATATATATATATATATATATATACTCTTAAGTTACATGAACAAAACTTTGTGAAAAACTAAAAGTATATATGTTTATTCATATACATATTTAGTTCATTATAACTATGTCTCTTCTGCACATCTTCGTTTGGAATTTGGATCAACTTTATTTTTCATTTATTTTCTGTTTTGTCTTGTCTATATTTTTCTTACAACAGAGATGAAATTATTGAAATTGATTCTGTTCTTTGTTATTGTTTTATTTATCTGTACGAGATTTTAGTAATTATATATATATATATATATATATATATATATATATATATATAATTTTATAGGCGTATCCCTGCCGTGTCCGTGTCCTATTTTTT